CCGCCCTGGCTCCCAGGTGGCCAGCGCAGGGGGCAGCCAGCTGCCCGTGGGCTCCGGGCAGAGCTCAGGCTCACAGACCAGCAGCGAGGCAGCCGGGCAGGAGCCACTGGGGCCCTGGTAGCCTGGACACACATCCACGGGCTGCGGGTCTGCAGGGCTCCCCCCTCCCCACGCGTCCCCCCAGGGACGGGCCACCCCTGACCATGCTCCCTTCCTCTCTGGGGCGCTGGGCCAAGCACCCTTCCCAGACCCGGTGCCGTGTCTGCCTACTGTGCCGGCTCCATGGCCCGGCTCTGGGTGTTGTCTCCTACACACCGGGCCCCTCGCAGCCCCTGCCCACTGGAAGCCCCACCCTGCCGAACCGGAGCCCCTGCCCCTGCCGCAGGAAACCCCTCCGCACACCGGCCAGAAGCCAGCTCCTCAGTGTAGACGCTCAGAGTTAGTTTCTGGGTGCTCTTCCAGGGGCACCTCGTTCCCACATGGCGTGGGGGTCCAGGCCTCGCCCCGGTGCCGTGGGGCCAACTAGCCGTGTGACTGTGGGCTGCTGTGCGCCAGGCTGGGAGTGGGGTGCCCGGGCCCAGCAGGAGGCCCCGTGGAACAGAGGGACCAGCCAGGTGCTCGGTGCACAGGCACTTTTATTTACTCAGGTGGCAGGCCCTGCGCCCTGCGCTGTCACAGGCCGAACCACTGGGGGATGCCGCCCCGCCGGGGGTCCTGGCGCTGCCTCTGCCGCTGCTCCTCCATCACCGCCTGGAGCTCGTCCTCCGTGGAGCCGTCTTTGGGGCTCGGCTTCTCAGGGAAGAGATCTGGGAACGTGAAGGTCTGCCCGTGTGCCTACGGAGGGGGAGAGAGGCTGCAGCCGGCCGGGGCCTGTGCGGCGGGGGGTCCCGGCCACGCAGACAGCACCTTCCCACCTCCCCACCCATCTGCCCACCCGGGTCAGCGGGGCTCCCGCTTCTGTCTGACCTACAGTGAGGCTCTGGGACTCTCCCCACTGCAGTCTCTTTAGGTGTCTGCGGGCCGCCTGGGGGAGCGGGGCTGGAGGGAGGCTCAGGCGAACAGGGCTCCACCGTGTGCGGTGTTGCCTGAAACCTTTTCCATCCAAAATCCCCAACGGCCTTCACCCCACTGAGGACACCCCTCCCGGCAGAGCCCTGCGACCCCACGCAAGCCACACACGAAGGGAAGCACAGGGCAGCAGCCGGCATGGGCTCGGCCCAGCTCTCCCATCTCACGCACGGCCCCAAGGCCACCCGGACCCCCAGGCCCAGTGCCGGTGAGCCAGCCCCCAAGTCCCTAGTCGAGGGCAGGAGAAGAGGGCACCCCAGACAGGTAGGGAGTGGGGGGTGGGGTGGGGGGCACCGTATCTGGGAAATTCTAGGAGTGAAATCAGCAAAGTGTGCTTGGTTCTTGCAGACCCTTGTTTTGCAAAGAAATCTGGACTGTGGGCGGCGGCCAAGGACAGGCTGACCCGGCCCCTGTGCCCCCCGAGAACGTGAGGTTCATGCATTCGGGTCACGTGGCGCGGGGCGCGGTGGTAGCCAGCCCGCGGGAGGATTATCTTACACGTTTCAAAACCTTTTTTTTCCTTTTATAAAATACCAAAGGGCAATAGTTTACATGCAAGGCTGACGGCTCAGAGTGGGGAGGGGGGTATGTTTAATATATCGAGGTGATTCTGCTGGTTTTCTGAGGTGGGGGAAACCCAAAATGACATTTTAAATATAAATACAAAGATGGCCGTTTGCAACAGCTTGGGAGAGGACAGGGGCTTGGTGAAAGGAATCCTGTTTCTCACCAGCGACGGCGTGTGGGTGCTGACAGCGGCCCCCTTTCCAGAGAATTCCCTGGCCCTTTCACAGGCCCCCAGCCCGCAGAGAGGAGAGGGCGGCCGGACTGCGGAAAGTCCAGGAGAGCAGGGGGAGGCCATGAGGCGAGGGGACCAGCCCGGGCGGCACCGGAGC